TAGGGGGGGGGGGGCGAATTTCCTGGGGGGGGGCGACCTTTTTAAAAATTCTATCTTGCCCCCCCCCCAAATTTGAGTTTGCCCCTCAAATGCCCCCCCAAATTTGGAAGCCTGGCGCCGCCACTGATTTTTATATAGACTTAAATAGACAAATGTAGTTAAAATTAACCTCTGTACAAATATATAGAAAAAGCAGGAATGGTAGTAACTTAAATCAGGCTAATATTACACTAAATTCTTCGACAGGCTTTGTTTTGCATCCAGCGATTGCGGCAAATTGCAAAGGATCTACCACATTCTCCGATTTTGCGTTTACAACATCGCGTTGTACAATCTGCTATATACTGTTGGAGCCATATTCAGAAGCGCCGGAATATCGATAATTGGGGAGGGGGGGGGGGGCAGATATTCATGTATTCGTGTTCTGCCCAATTAATTTCTTTTGAAATCGATTGTTTTTACAGTCTGTGAACACGAATATATGAATATTTGCCCCCGCAATTATCAATATTCCGGCGCCTCTGGTGGCCATATTTCAAAGTGATGTGCAAATTAGTGAGGAAGTGGAATAAATTATGTCCGTGATTTCTGGCCATGGCCAACAGCATGCATGACTGCATGCAATGTACATACATATCAATGCATATATGAATTATGACTGTATGACTACAAAGTTGGCACTAAAAGGGTAATTGACAGAGATGAATTATTATCACGTTTTCAATTTTGTAGAATTTATTACATTTGAAGTGTATACCTTAAGTAACACGTAAATATTTAGTAATATTCAATAAAAAATTCCCCGGGGGAGGTGCAAAATGATGTGAAGGAGGTGGAAAAATTCTCGGGGGGAGGTGCAAAACGATGTGCACCTGTCCCTTAATATCCGGCCATGGAGTGAAGATTACGGTTAGGGTTGTATTTCGACTGAGGTTGTTAATATGAAAATTGATCCACTAAGTTCAAACTCGAAAGCAAGAGTATCTGACAGTGAAGTTTCTCACCTGGTTATACAAGAGAACATGAAATCCCAGTCCAAATGCGATGATAAACAGAAGCAAAACAACAAAGAATTGAGCAAAAGTTCGGAACATTTCCGTAAACATAACGACATAAATACCAAGCTTTGGGAACTTTCTCATGGACAGAACTAGAGTAAACCATGCTAGACACAGCGACGCTGCACCAACACTGTTGTGAATGTCGAAACAACTAGAGAAATAGTACATAAAACGTCAGAAGTTGTGTTTGTTAACTAACCTCAAATATGATTTTAGATACCATTATAATTATTTGGGTCAATGTTTGGGTCATTCTGAGAAATAATGTAATACCTCATCAATTACCCACATGCGGGTATATAGCCCGCGTTTTTTAATTAAAACGCCTCTGCGGAGGAGAGGAATTTTTCACTGTCAATCGTGCTGACATGAGGCCATATCAGAAGAATTACATATTAGTTTGCTTCTGTTATTGCTACTATAAAATTAATCTAATGACATCACATCCGGAAATTTGGCCGGGTAAAGCTTCGATCAAAATGAGCCTTTTTTACTAATAAAGATCGTGTTACTGTACATTGCTTCTCTTTAATTTGCATATATTTTGCAACTTGCAACACAATTTCCAATGCAGCGCAGAGCGACGTTGAGAAGTACATTATCGACGTTTCTGTGATCAAAGCCGTGTCATGTCGCAAGATAAGTCTTTATTCTTACAAAATAGCTTTACCTATTTGATTTCAAAAACGTTTGCACATTAGGATTTAGGAAGAGGGGTGAAGAGGATGACTTCCCACTCTAATAGATCTCTGACAGGTAGCTAATAAAATTACTAACTGACGCTTTTTAACCATGAACCCTGATGAAGAAAATTAACATAAAATTTGAGACATAAAATGGTTCAAGTACTGCAATTTGCAGCAAGTGAACCAAAGGTTGGAGTATCTTGGCAACCGAAATTGGCACTCCAATATTTCATGACGCACCTGCTACTGCAGAGAAAGCCAGTCTTGAGTGTTTAATATAAGTCTCTGAGCAACTCACCTAGTTGACTGGCTACCACCACCTTTATTTGTGACAAATATAATGGCAGATGTGTACGTTCCCAGTTCAACTAATTCGTGCCAAGTAAGGAATAATCTCCACAAACACACAGCTTTGAACAACTAAAACATAAAATATAATTTAGTAAAGAAATTCTCAAATTCATTAATAATTCTTGAGTACAACACACAGAAAACCAGCACCGTATTGTCACAGAATACTACACAGACTGACAGAAGTCCATCTCCATTGCTTTTTGCGTAAGCGCTTTTCGTCATGATTCGTCACTCAGCAAGTACCATAAACAGCCCCCCCTGGAAATACTAAAAATGGCGCACATCCAGGGGGGTGACTGCTTCTGTTTACGGTACTTGCTGAGTGACGAATCATGACGAATAGAGCTTACGCAAAAAGCAATGGAGATGGACTTCTGTGTAGTACTCTGTGGTATTGTTGTCTTCATAGCACGGTAATAAAGTCCATTTTCGTGTTGGATTTCTCTTTAAATAGTGCTGTATTAAGATTTAGATTTGACTTAATTTTGATTTTAATTTTGATTTGATTAAGATTTGATTTTTTCCACTTTCTTTTACTGACTAAGTACGCATGTGATTGGTCGATCGGGTAGATTAATGCATCTTATTGGTATTTGTATAGTCGATTTTAGAAGGGGGGCGTAAAATTCAAAATTACAAAGATAAGCCAAGGATATAGATTTAAATTACAAATGAAATCATATCAGGCTAGTTGCACGTAGAAGCGAATTGAAGGAAGATTTAGCTTTATGTCATGAATAATCTTATAAACCTTATGTAGTACACTCGAAGACGATCGTTCATTATACAGATTTTTGAAAACCTTGAAATTGTGTTTTAAAATATCGGCTAGCACTGCATTTTTCAACACACTTATCAGTATTGAAATCAGTATAATAAAACTATTCTCGTGCATGTACAAATATATGTTATATGACAGGTTATACGTGAAAGGTCACAATACTTATGCATAACCTACAATTGTCACGTAGTCAAAGCAACTGTTTGCGCAACATGGGGAACGATATTCTTAAGCATTTTAGCAAGAAACAGATAAGGTGGCAAATTCTGTACCTTAACAATGAGGACAAAACTAGCAAGGACTAAAACGACCGAACGGCCGATGTTTATCCAGAAAAATTCAAAAGCATTCTTTGGATCAATTCCTGGAAATGAACTACAGTTACATTGTGGAGCGATGCAGTAGCCTGGTGGAAATTTCTCACTAGTGACGAGAGCATAACCGGTGAGGAAGAGTAGAAATATCATATAGAATGTGAAACTTGCGTAGTAGACATAGCGACCATAACGACGCCATTTTTGACGTAATAAGAAGGTGACCAATGGATGTTTCAGAAGTTTTTCTCGTTCAAATGAAACCTAGAGACATGAAAAAGATTAATACAAATATTTAATTTTTCTAATTTTTAACTTTTTACTTCAAATAGGCAATTCCAGCTTTTAATTTATGCGCGCAGGGGGTGACGGCAAGTAAGGTATCATATTGCTGATTATGCTGAAAATTTTCAATAAAAACTCAGTGCAGAAACAACAGAAATATTTCAATATTTACAAGTATAAGCTATCACTCCGTGTTTACACGGCCACCATTTTTATTTTTTCAGCATAATCAGCAACGTGATACCTTACTTCCCATCCCCCTACACGCATATTAAACTAAAAGCTGGAATTGCGTATTTAGAAAGCAGTTTTAAAAATGTTAATTGAATACTGAATTCATCGGGTATGCCAAGATGGCGGGTATTTGGTTACTCAGATAAACTTGAACTGGTTTGTTTGGATTTTTGCGTTCTATTTGTTCATATTTGTAGGCCATATGTACAAGATGGCTTTCATCTACAGCACCTAAATGTGTGTACTTAGTGTGTGTAATTGTGTACGTCTTGTCAAAATGCATGCCAGCAAAGCCTAGATTTAGCCCTAAACCTAAGCCCAAGGCAAACTCTAATACTAACCCTAACGTTAATATATCAAGAGCAGCCATCCAGCTCGATTAACTTTAACAGTTATTCTGGGTTGCTTATTACCATCTAACTGCCATAGTCATGCATGTAAATATTTATGTTAATAATTATTTGGTAACATATAATCTGCCTGTCATGGTTAGAATTACGACTCACGAGAGTTTGGGTTAAAGGGCTTATGACTCGAGAAAATTGACGGTGTTGTTTTTTGGTCAAATTTGAAAGATCATTGAAAACTGTAGAGTAACTTCTTTGACAGATTTTTGTTTTCTTTCTTCGTTTTGGAGATATTTCATTTTGTATGATATGCAAAAGACCAACTTCCTACGTCACATATGTATAATGATTTAGCCCTAAAAGCTGTATATCTTTAATACGACTAAACACAATCAGTAAAAAACCTACATGGGTGTTGTTGTGGACAAATCTCGTGCTCGTCATTCATTTTGAGCGAATATATTTGATAGTGACAAAATTATATAACATTTTAAAGTAAATCATTATGCATATGTGACGTAGAAAGTTGGTCCTTTGCATATCATACAAAATGAAATATCTCCAAAACGAAGCAAGAAAACAAAAATCTGTCAAAGAAGTTACTCTACAGTTTTCAATGATCTTTCAAATTAGACTAAAAAATAACACCGTCAATTTTCGAGTCATATGCCCTTTAAGGTTTTAACAGGGTGTCCACCCTTTGGTGAAGGTGAAATTCAAGGACTTTTCCAGGACTTTCAAGACCCTTTTCATTAAATTCAAGGACCTAGAACTGGGAAAAATCTTTGAAAATGGCACGGATTTTAGACTTTATCCAGCAAATAATTCAATTTATTCAGTAATTTTAATCAAAATCACTAATGTTGGCATAGCTGGAGGTTAAGGAAAATAATTCCAGGACTTTCAAGGACTCCTACTGATTTTCAAGGACTTTCCAGTCCTGGAAATCTTTTTTTTCCGTGGACACCCTGTTTTATAAAGGATTAGTTAGGGTTAGGGTTAAGGTTAGAATGAATCGGGTCAATCGTAATATTGGGGTAAAAGGCACAACTCGTACACGAATCCTTACCATGAGTATAAGCGGATGATTGTGTTTCATTTGTAATTGTCTGGTCGAGTTTTCTGGCAAAGCTTTCTTAATCTTATAAACAATATCCTCCAGCCCGTCATCTCCTGTATGAGCGGTATCGGATTCAAACCATTCAGCATTAATATCATCCAAGAATTCATAATTTAATGTGATATTGTAATCTAAATGATTCACAGGTTCTTTCACATGAAAACATCTATCACAGACTTTCATTGCTAGATCAGGAAGTTTCTTGATTAATTTTCGCATTGGTGTAGTTACCGTAGCTCCGTCTGTAGTTCGATTTCGCATTACTCTTTTCCATTGAGCATGATTAAGAATCTCTAAGACAACATCCCTGAAACAATACGATAAATTATTTCGTTGTGATCGAGGTTCAATTCCTGCAATATGCATTTCTCATATTCACCTTAATTCAGCTAATAGCATCGAAATACAGTGGAACCCCTATCAACAGACACCTCTCTGACACATACTGTACCAAACAAAGGCGACTTTGGTCTGATTGGTTGATTCTTTTGCTCGCTTTCAGGCCTTTTGTACATTATTTTGCGCGTGGCGTTGAAGGAGTTGTAAACATGTGCTCAAGTGCCAGAACAAAAGTTTGAGCAAAAATATCGCGGTAATCTGTCGTTAAAATGCAAACTTTTAGCTGTCCTGTGCTGCTATTTTAACTAATTTTTCGTTGGTATTGATCTGATTTCTTTCGAAACTGAGTTCTACTGAAATATACTCAATCATGTGTCGGCGGTGAAACTCGTAAGTGCGCGTGCAAATAATTCGTCAGAAGACCTGCTTATTAGCTTGAATTTAATGTTCCGGCCCTCTGGTTCCAATGATTTTTTAAAATGCTATATCGTTACCCCCATTCAGCGGTTACCTCTATTAAACGGAAGCCGACACTTATTAGACATGTATTTGTTGGAAATTCACTAGGCATCAGGGCTCAAAATAACGGGAGAGTCAAAATGACCGGTCAACTTGATTTTAACTCGACGTTCAAAATCTGTTTTTGACCGGTCATTGATACGCTTACACTAACAGTGAAACAAACTATTAGAAACTTGTTTCGATACATCATAGTTTCATATAAATTCAAGATGTTAGCAATCACATTGGAAGGCATGAAAATGTGGCAGGTCAAAATGACCGGTGAGGTAAAAAAGTGACCGGTCAAGAGGCATTTTTGGCCGGTCATTGTCCGTTGACCGGCCGTTATTTTGAGGCCTGGGACATGTATTTGTTATCAGTGTTTGGCAGTATTTCTAAGTAGTATAACGCTAATAACTTGAGTTAATCTCTAAAAACAAACTTTCTTTCTTTAATTTGTCTTTCAAGCAATTGCAAGAAAAACTGTCTTCTCGAACCATGAACTCGTAGGAAGTTCCACACCGTAAACAACCTCTCCACATTTACCTTTGTCTGTACAGTTCCTAAGTTAGTTGTTGCGGACACATTGCTGAGGTTCCGAAGGTGTCCGCTTAATAGGGCTTCGACTGTACAATAATTTACGTTTACGTCTTGTTTTAGTCCATATCTTTGCTTTTCAAGATGTTTTCATTTTGTTTTAAATTTTATTTCATTTGAGAAGAGTGCTTCAAATTTGACTCAACCAAACAGTATACAAATTTTCTCTCAGTATTCCGATTTTCTTCTGCAGTAACACTGGACAAATTTGGTAAAGCCATTACTGGTCCTATAGAGAGAACAACTGATAGAGCTATCCAATATAGATAAAGTTAATTTATATACTGTAGTTTCACCATATGTTTGGTTTACAATAAGCATTACAGCAGCAGATGATGGTCGACTTCAAATATGTCGACACTAGCAAGATAATTCAACTTTAATCTCTCAGTTTTGCTTTGAAATAGAAGACTACGAATGAACATTATTTTCACACTCTGATCACCACAAGTTGACAATTTCCTGCACGACAGTGCTTAGTGAATCCCACATATACAGTCGCTAATGATAATAACGAGTATATTTACAGTACCGTACGTGTAAGTGCGACTCTGTGACTTACTTTCGTCCATGATCGATAGCAATGTCCAAACAGTTATTTCTTTCATTATCAGTCAACGTAAGGTCTGCTTTCCTTGAGAGAAGTAATTTCACCATTTCTGGATGTCCTTCACGGCACGCGAGATGCAGGGGTGTTGTCTAAGAATTAGAATTTCACTGAACTATGCAAAGGGAAACAGGCTTATTTTCTTACATTATATACTATCCAAAAATGTTGTCATAAAGATTAGGGCTAGACGTAGGGTTAATATTAAGCGTACAAAGTTGTCCTTCAGTAGCATTATAGGAATGTTGCTGGTTCAAGTGAGGCCAAAAGCTGCTGTTAAAAGTAAAGTAAAGTTAGGGGGAAATTTTATTTTAAAACTATAAAAAATATAAAAAGTTTTTATATTTTTATAGTTTTAAAATAAAATTTCCGCCTAACTTTACTTTACTTTTAACAGTAGCCTTTGGCCTCACTTGAACCAGCAACGTTAATATTAAGGTTAGAGTTTGAGGATCGGGACTAAATGAAAATTGCCTAAGTAAACATGTTTCAGATCGTGTTCGGTTTATACTGTACGTACTGTATTAATACAGTAGGTTGTCATTTTCAAAAAACCTACATGCACTTCTATATGCAGGAATATTTTAATAAATAAATAAATGTAATCATAGAATGAAACAAGTACCTAAATTATACATGTGAATGAATTGGGTTTCATTCATTTGATTACCTTTGCTTTATCCAACGGGTCAACAGGAGAACCTTTATTTAAAAGAACTGTGGCAGTTTTGGTCCATCCCTCAGCAGCGGCACAGTCAAGTGGAGTCCATAATGTATTGTTCCTACAGAAATAACAATAGCTGGTCAGAGATATTATCGAAATGGAGATGTGGTATGGTAACATTGCAGAGAAGTAAGGGAAGCAAGGATGAGATGACATGGACACGTAATAAGAAAAGATGAAGAAGATCCTCTCGGAGCATAGATATCTTGTCTCGGAGACATTATGAAATGAAACGATCAGAAGAACTTGTGGTTTCGTAGACATTGCAGATCAGGCGAGGGAAGCAAGGCTGAGATGGCATGAACACGTAATAAGAAGAGATGAAGAAGATACTGTTGGAGACATTATAAAATAAAAGGACCAGAAGAACATGTGGGTGTGTAGATATTGCAGAGCAGGAGAGGGAAGCAAGGCTGAGATGGCATGGAGACGTGATAAGCAGTAGCGTAGCCAGCCCGACGATTTAGTCTCGCTATGCAAATATTTTCGTGTTCATTGACTGTGAAAACAATCAATTTCTAAAGAAATGAATAATGATAATAATTTTGAATTTGCATAGCGGGACTAAATTGTCTGGATGGCTACGCCACTGGTGATAAAAAGAGATGGAAAAGAAGAGTGTGTAGGAGATATTATAAAATCGAAATGTGGGTTCGCAGACATTGCAGGAAAGGTGAGGGAGGCAAGGTTGAGATAGTATGGACACGTAATGAGAATAGATTAAGGAGAGCCTGTCAGAGACATTATGAAATGAAGAGACCTGAAGATGTAGGATTCGTAGACATTGCGGAGAAGGTGAGGGAAGAAAGGCTGAGGTGGTGTGAAAACGTAATGAGAAGAAGTGAAGGAGAGCCTGTCAGTGACATTAGAGAACGAAGAGATCTGAAGATGTAGGGTGGTAAACATTGTAGAGACGACGAGGGAAGCAAGGCTAAGATGGTATGGACACGTAATAAAAAGAGAGGAAGAAGAGCTTGTCAGAGACAATATGGAATGAAGAGATAAAAACATAAATATGGCGTTAGACATTGCAGATAAATAAGGGAAGCAATACTAAGATGTTACGGACGCGTTATAAAAAGTGATAAAGGAGAGTTGATCCGAGATATTATGCAGATCTCACCTTGCATCAATGGCTGCTCCTAATATTATGCAGATCTCACCTTGCATCAATGGCTGCTCCTTGGTTCAACAACAACTCCACGACTTTAATATGACCATGCAAGGCAGCAAGATGGAGGGGTGTGTTAGAACAATCATCTTCGTCGTTTATAATGGAAGGATCTTGTTTGATTAGTATCATTGTCACTCTAAAATTAAATTTTTTTTTTTAATCTCGAGTTTTAAACATTTACCGTTTTTCGGTATGAATTGGAATTATGACTGCTTTACCAAAAACATCTTGATATCTGTTCGAATTTGGGCCTTTTCTTAACATGCATTATTTAAAAGGTGCTTCGTGGGTTTCGTTTTAGTGTAGGTATAATACAAGTATTTCTACAGTTACCAACCTTGTTCTGCCGTGTTTTGCAGCGAGATGTAATGGAGTGAGATCTTGATCATTTTTTGCATCAATAATGGCTCCATTCTCCAACAAAAGCTGGCAAGAAAGAAAGAAAGAAAGAATGAATAAACTCTATTGATACAGAGTAAACTAATCCGTGTGATATGCACTGTTACCGTAAGGAGGCCTTACAAATTAACAAAAAGATAGAACTGAAACTTTGGTTGAGTTTCCAAACCATAACCAGACCATAATTTGCTGTTCTAACAACCCACTACATTTAAATATGTTTGATGCGAAACCATGCAGGATTATTCATATTGAAAACTATAGACGTTCTCTTTCGCGCGAGTTATGTATTGTCGAGATCTCGACTTTGTGTCTGTTTGTCAGGATTTCGAAATTCCGGGGAAATAATTAAGGCTTCAGGAAGTTTTTATAAACAAGGGGGGCGGTCAAACTTTATTTCGTGTCGCGCAGCCATGATTCTTCAGTGGTTTAAATACGAGAAATACGAATACGAGCTTTATATTTACATACAGTTTGTTGGATTTGCACAATGGAAACGATCGACAATATTTTGAGTCGGTACTCGCTTCGATTCGTCAATAGACAATAATGTCAATATTTTATATATAAACAAGGAGTCAAAATGTACCTTTAGTTTTATATTTGTTTGTGTGGCGATGCGTTTTTTGTGTTCATTCTAGATGTATCATAATCAGGCTTAATAAGAATCCTATACTAGCAACACATGCTGCATGCACATATTAACTTACCAGCAGTTACATGTAACAGCATGTCAAATTTGTCAATCGACTTTTGTACAAAATATAATGATCTGCTTTAACTGCTTATATCTCTGAGATATGTCCATCAATAGCATAATATGAAATAATCCTACCAGCCTACATTCCTATATTCACCTGGCTGTGTCACTACATTTCAGGGTATACTATATTTTTCGATAATTAATGCTCACAATTTCTTTCTTATTGTATAATTTTGCTGTTCAGACTGAGTACAATCTTAGTGACTTAATCTATTAAACAAAAATGTCAATGAATAAATGTTTTCTATCCATCAGCAGATTGTTAAATTGTTCTGCGATAGGGGTAGCCTTGAAGGTGCCATTAAAACGAAAATTGCCATTGGGACAAAAATTGACTTAGTATTTCTATATTTGATATTATACAGTATTCATTGGCAAGCTAACCATGGCAACTGGTCATGCTATGCCAATAAACCTGCATGATTTGAATAATACAAATCATTAAAAACTTTCATAACATCACCTGTTGCTATGGCTAGCTTTGCCACAGACAGTATTATAATTATACATATACATATACAAAAGTAAGAAATAATTATAAGTTAGAATTGATGGTATTCATATAAAACCACCAATGCCAAGAAAGTAGAACGGAATATTTAGACGCGCTTCAACTTTGTGCAACGTGTTTGACATTCAAATGGCAATTTTCCTATCTCATGAACAGGCATCGTAGGGGCTGTTTACATGTTGGAAGGTTTCCTCCCACAGGGCCGGTTAGGTAAAAGGGCCCACAGTAATTGGCATATGCTGCTGTGGTGACTCTGCCCTAGTTGGCAAAGTTAAATAAATAAATATGGTTGGCAGGGGTGAGGGGGTGTGAGAGTGAACTTGAAATTCGGCCCTGTCCCTTGGGAGTGAGGCAGCATTTTTCTTGCGATAGTAACTTCTAGTTATAATATTTATTTTTTACAAGCTTTCGACGACTGTCAGTCTACAGTCTTCAACGGGTAGATTATAATGAAAGTGATGCGAGGTTTACGACTACACTCACTACATGTATCATATTATGAACAATTACTGTGGCGGAGTCGTCAGAACAAAGACTTTTCACGTCTGAGATCCTGGGCTTCATTCTCGCTGCTGATTCTTGATACTTCTTGATAAGAGTCAGTCAAAGCTCCACCAAAAGTCGTTGGGTTTTCGCCAGGTAATCCGCTTGCCTCCCACAAAAACAGGGTGAGTTGGATAAATCCCAAACTAATCATTCAATTGTAGCTGTGCTACTTGATCAGGCAGAGACGTAAGCGTTCAACTCGATCAGGTCGATTTGCGTCCTTCGTAATTCAACTTAGCTCTAAGCCGCAAATATAGCCTGCGTAGCTGGCGGTTTTAAGGGGTTGGCAGGTGAGGCGCGGGCAGCGAAAAATTAGGCAAGCAATATTTTTTACATACCCTAACTATTTCATCAAAGCCTTTACTTGCTGCCAAGTGTAATGCTGTATCTTCAAATTTATCTGGTTCGTTCAGCAACGCTTTGGCACGTTGATCTTTCAGTAGATACTACAGGGGAAAACATGAACTGTTATCTTACAATTTTATCATAATACCCTGTATATTATCCAATGCTTAACAACTACGGCCCTTTTCCATATATCTATCCCGAAATAACGTGAGAGGATTAGCGTTAAGTTTAGTGTGGGGTTAGGGTTGAGGTTAGCCTTAGGATTACTTTGTTGAGTTAGCTTTGGGATTACTGTTATGATTACTTTTGCACACAACCATGGATGTCGGATGTTGGGATCGTTGGGATCCGAGTGATCTGCATGCGACTGGAACTAACTATAAACCGGGTCATGCAGAAGGACTTGTGCATGATAGTATGGTAAAAAATTTCAATTTCTCCCAGTACCTTTTTCACTTTTTGCAATATTTACCGACCAGGGGCCGGTTGTATAAAACTCTTAATCACTTTTTTAATCACTATTTTGTAGTTAAATAGTGATTAACTCTCAAATACGCGCTTCTTATTGGATGACGTTTCCACTAACTATAGTTAACTTTAATCACTTTTTTATACAACCGGCCCCAGATTTAATAAGCGTCTTTTTCCATTTTCAAACTTTGTGTGGTTTGACTATTTTCCTGTTCCGTGGCCAAATTTTATATATCAAATCTCAAGCCTTCAAGCTTTGAGTTATGTTTTCTATTGCCAGAATTAACTTTCACAGGCCCAAGTTTCCCCCGGTGGCCCGACCTCCCGTCGCAACTCGCAAGCTAAGCGGTCCCAAATCAACCTCGTTCCCAGGGTCTCTCCTGAGAACGAGGTTGGTCCCAAACCTGCTCCTGCTGCTCGCAATAGCAAATTATTTCTGGTTACCTGTAAAAAAGTACAGGCATGCACACAACTCCAAATGGAGAGATGCTCGCACCTTTAAACTATCAAGACATCCTTCGACAGCGGTATGATGATAAACATTCCTATCATTTTTATCTTTAGCACTCGGCTCTGCACCATGTTCTAACAAGAACATCACTGAATCAACATGGTTCTTCTTGCCAGCGATCAACAATGGCGTGTTTTTATCACGATCACGACACTCTAGCCTTGCTCCTCTAAAAGAAAACATCAGTAGCGCTTTGAGCAAGTGCAACAGCATTTTTCAATACAACGGGTGTCATTTGAGGGAATTTAGAAGTGCTCATTTTCACCGTTGGTGGAAGAACCTGTGACCACATTTTACACAGGCGGTCCTTCTTTGGGAAGTCTCTGAAATGGCATTTCTTCCAGTTTGGAGAGATTTTATAAAAATTCTAAAGGAAGCATACAAGTATCTCAATTTAAGAACTTGAACTGTCTGTGCCTGTAGGTAGTGCCAAAAATAACGATGCAACTATCTGAAAAATATAAGGAGAACTTCGACCCTTCGTCGGGAGTTAGTAGCGGGAAAATTACACGAGCTTTTAAACTAAGAATATAAAAGCAATCACGTGACAAAAATTAAATTAATCAGATGGATTTAGTAACTCCCGCCAAAGGGCCTTCGCTCGAAACGTCCAAATTCTCCTTATATCTTTCAGGTAGTTGCATCTTAGAATTACACATTTTGAAAAATGATCCAACAGTACACGTAAGTATTGTTTTCCCCGGATTCCCTGTTTGTCTTAATAATGTATCATCTATTTATTTGGTTAAGAATTGTTGAAAATTTCCTTTGTTCTTCATGTCCATTACCATTATGCCTAACCAAGTGAGCTTGATATATATATCTGGAGCGAGAACTCGAGTCCAAAATCCAGTCCTCTCCTATTGTTTTTGTCTGCGCGGCTAACACGAAGTTGGCAAAGAGTGTACCGAAATTTCGTATTTTGACTTCGATTTAAAGAATAATTCTATCATGGTTTTACAAACTGATAACTTGATTAACGATATGGTTCGAACTGGGATTAGCTGGGGAATATGTTATTAACGAGCTTAGGCAAGCGATGTTTTTGTCAACAAGGACGTCAGATTGCCGAGGGGGGTACTGGATTAAAAACTGTGTTTTTGTCAGTTTGTGGTAATCTTCAACACATCTGACAAAATATAAGATTTTTAAAGTTTTTTGCTTTCTTACACGAGCGCTATGATACCAATTTTCGTGCTGACAAAAACGTCACTTGCTTAAGCTCACTATTAAAACTGTTTATGACCTTCAGAGATATTGGACGTCAAACTCTGGCATCTTGGCTTCACTTTTCTCATAGGCCGAATGACTGAAGTTATCGCTCCAGATATAGAGAGAGAGAGAGAGAGAGAGAGAGAGAGAGAGAGAGAGAGAGAGAGAGAGAGAGAGAGAGAGAGAGAGAGAGAGAGAGAGAGAGAGAGAGAGAGAGAGAGAGAGAGAGAGAGAGAGAGAGAGAGAGAGAGAGAGAGAGAGAGAGATAGAGAGAGAGAGAGAGAGAGAGAGAGAGAGAGAGAGCTCACTGGGTTTAACTGCACAACCCCTGCACTTCCCTTTTCCTCGTGCTTTTGTGACCTAAGTAATTCTGCGACGTTGCCATAGCACTGTCTTGTAATAGCAAGTCGAAACTGAAAATATTAAATAATAATGCACACTTTCACATTCAATACTGCATACTTTTCAATGAATACGGCGCACTAAAATAAGCCCTGCAGGGGCGAGAAAAATTAAACTACTGCAACACATACTTTTTCCACAAATAGTTCAAAATCTCAAGTCTGTTAAACGTCGCTGCTCTCATGAGAGGTGTTCTCTGCATTGCTGTCTTGGCTTCAATATTTGCATCATAATTAAGCAAAAGTTGAACAATATCAAGATGTCCGTTTGTTGTTGCAAGGTGAAGTGGAGCGACCAAGTTAACTTTAACACAATTGACATTCGTCCCTTTTTCAATCAGAAGAAGAACTATTTCATAATGTCCATTCTCCACAGCAAGATGTAATGCAGTCTGTTCTTCTCTGTCTTGATCTAAAACCATCTTAGACAGAGTTTCCCAACCACCTTTATGTTCCGCTAATGCAAACAAACAAATAAACAACAATATAAAACTGTGCATAAAAGGTGTTTGTTTATGGCTCAAGTGTTAGTGTTTGTTTTTTGGAGGAGTTAGTGGCACAGTCTAAACCACATAAACCGTCTTTCATTTCTGCAACAGGGGTGGGGTTTATTCCTGTCAGTTTTCTCATAAATCTATTATACTTCAGTTGCATGTGAGAAGAATGCTTCCTATCCAGTTTAACTCTACCAAACATCGCAGATTTTCTTTCAGTACTATACCCATATCCGCCATTTTTGGGGTACTGTCTTGGGAGAGGCAGTACCCCAAAAATGGCGAATAAGAAAGGCTAATTGATAGAGTCATCCAGCATAAATAAAATGGTGTAGGACTGTTACTGTAGGTGAGATCGGAAAATATAGGCATATTTACCGATTTCAAAGAGATATTGAGCGACGTCAAGGCTTCCCTCCATGGAAGCAAAATGTAAAGGAGTCATTCCTTCCTCATCAAAACATCGTAAACATGCTCCAGCATCAATCAATATTTTAGCAACTTTCACTGAGCCTTCCAATGCAGCGCAATGTAATGCTGTCATTTCGGTCTTGTCTTTTGCCTGAATTACAGTAAATAGGAGGTTATACCTACTGTTCCTAACTCTTGCCTGCAATCCTAAAATTATAACTCTAAGTCTCTAATCATAACCCTAAACTTCACACCAACCAACCCGCCTCATCTTAGCCATAATAATGCTAAACCCTAACATTTATAAGCCTAATCTTGATGCTAACCTTAACCTTACTGTAATTAATAGTTAAGTTGTCAAAATTATAATAATATAATAATTGTAATATTACGATATACTATTTACTGTATGGCACAAAGACATGGCATAAAGACTTTAACGAGGGGTCTAAATCGAAAAGCCTGTTAAGGTTTCAATAGACTCCTAGCCCGATAATTTATTTTATTTTTTCCTGTTATGTAAATAATAGTATTTCATATGGGCGAATCATTAAAAAAATATACCCCACAAACCTCGAGATCAATGTTCTTGTCAGTCAACAATTGCATGACGGCTGTTTCGTTACATTTTGAAGCAGCGTAATGAAGTGGTGTACATCCAAGGTTATCACGACTGTTTACGTTTGCTTTCCGAGACAGTAAGTACAAGATAATTGAGTCTTTTAATAATATGTCCATTGCATTCTTTAAAAGATGACGTTCAATACCTGCAAAATAAAATTGTAAGCGTTTTAGCCTCACATGGGGTGTTGGTGTCACAATAGTTTGTGCATATGCCTTTACGTCTGTGACCAGGCTCAATTACTGCAATATGCAATTGGGCCTAAAACTGTTTGTTTGAGAAAAGTCCAAAAAAGACGGGGTCAGTAGGTATTTTTATTTTACTTTTTTATTCCAATCATTTGACACAAATTGTAAAACATTGACCTGAACTACGTGAGCCCCTATATATCAGCGGTAATCGCGAGAAAACATAGTTCAGACTCATGTTTTCCAATGATTTAACGTACGATGAACAAAGAAGACAAGACGGCGACAACGCAAACGCCAATAAGAAGTTTAAACCAACATACAGCAGAAAAGTGATCCAAGCGTTCTAGCTTTAAAAATGACGAAGATAAATTAAATTTTAGGGTCGCTGCACTCCTCTGGGGTCGGTTGAGAAAACTGAGAGAGGGAGGCAGACATGTCTACTGTACCTTGCAGGAATTTGAATCCTGTTATAAATTTGGCGCAAAAATTGATTGATGTTTTGTGCTTTGTGACGCAGATATTCGACCGAATCGACAAGACAACACCTTCTTGTCCAGGAGATGCTTGATAGATACACTCATACACAGTATGACGTCATACTGTGTATCTATAACTGAACAGACAACGGCAAAATCTTATCTATTTGTTAATTTTGTTTTATATATTAAAAAGAAAATCCCCAAATTAAACAGGTAAATAGCTTACTTTTTTCCACCCAAACATTTGGAAATTTGAAAAAGTCGAAATTTTACACTATCAAGCGTACATGATCTATACAAATAAGGGAATGCTATTGGATACCTTAAGTTACGTCACGCGTGACGTAATTCCGTGCGTCTGTCCTCTAATTTTAATTAATTAATTTTAATTAATTAAATGTTATTATTGGCACAATAATGGAAGTTAACAGAGAATTAAGAGGCGCTAGCTAACGTCACTTGGTCATTTGATCAAAACAACGTGGGTCTGGCATCATTCGCATAGTGCTTTTTTCCCGAAGTTAGTTTCAGTGTAATTCTTTAAAAATTTCAAGAGGAAATGCCCGAATAAGTTAACTAGCTACCTACTACATCAACGAGCATTCCTGTGGTTCAATCAGTAAGTCAACAGTGTCTAATCCAGCTGTTATTTCCTCGGCAGTTCGGGGTTCTTGTCACGTGCGTCGCGTTCGCTAGAGTCGCTTGCCATTTGCACTATTTGGCCGTGGTGTCTTCCTCGTCAGCCTCGAGCCCGCCTTCCTTTCCTCAGGATGTTATGGCACCACCTACGAGTCCATTTACTCTACGTTTACCAGCTTCATCAGCTCAGCATGGTGGCCATCCGTCGGCATCTGTCAATTCGCCGTATTTTTATTCGCTATGTGCATGTCTTCGTTCGTCGCAGTGATTGATTCACATTAAGGTTTGCTATATTCGCATTCCGTTCGTGTTCGCATTAATTCGCTATTCGCATGTATTCGTTCTTCGCAGGGATTCGCATTTACAGATAGATAAGTAGATGTTTTAAGGCCAACATTGCAGCATAGACTGAATTACATTTATATTTACAAATGTTTAGATTTATTCTACTATCCAAAATGAAATTCAAAAATTGACTCGTATATTCGCATGTTTTTGTTTTTCGCCGTTACCGCACTAATGTTATATTCGTTTTCCTTTGCATTGAGTCGCTATTGCACTATTTTCAACACTGATTACAATCAATAAGATGTTGCACTATTCACAAGTTGTAAAAAATTAGGTAAAAGGATAAGACCTTTGGCTTTGTATCGAGCATTAACATAACAATTATCTAATTAGCTCTATATATTTGCTCCAGCATGCTTCGCTTCATGCAGGTCGTTTTTCAAAAGTTTTGTTTCATTTTTTGTACTTAATGTCCAGATCGTTCCAGAGGGTAACGCCTCTATAATGGAAAGACCTTTGATCCGCAGAAATTTTATACAGTGGTCTTTGCATTGAGTTCTGCCGTTCTGGCATGGCCGCGTGTATCTCGTTGATGAATGCATGTCAAAACGTTTCGTGAATAACTCGCTCAAGCCAGCCTAGCTAGTCCCGGGCTGTCGCGCTGAACATTGCTTTGATATGTTTATAAGTAAGTTTTATGCCTGCCCTGGGTGTGCTGTTCCACGCGCTTCAAGTTGAGTTCACGTAGCCTTGCCTTGGCGAAATATGGTCGAATTTCCCAATATTTCTTATTATCTTGCACGCAAAATTTTCATTTGCACTGTCGTTTCTTAATTATAAACAGACGAAGTGTTTCACCAAACCATTAAACAATCAAACTTTTTTTTCCCTTTACAATTGCCGAGACGATCAGATGGCTTCGTTCTTCAGTGTCAGTGATTCACATTAATGTTATATTCGCATAACGTCGGTATTCGCATGTCGTCGTTCTTCGCAGTGATTCGCATTCATGTTATACATACCTATACATACATACAAAAAGTTATTTATGCACGCTGACCTCAACAACTCAGAGCTGATTTCCACAAGGGGCGTGATTTTTGACAAAATTACAAAAACAAAGAAAGAAGAATTACTATTTACTATATACTATATAGGCAACAGGACGAGCCAATTTTCAGTGTTTGCCTGATTATTAGTTCTTTTAAAAAACCAAAAGATTACGCTGCTTTTACCTCATACGGTAAATTATTCTATGCTACCGCTCCGTTATATTTGAAGCATCTTTTACCAAAATCGGTATTCGGTTTAGGAAGAGACAAATCGGTTTCTTTATTTCTAAGATTATAGGTATTATCCATTCACTATTCAATCGAAAGGATGTTCTTAGTTTTTAGATGTCTTCGTTTTTCACAATGATTCGCATTACTGTTATTTTGCCATCACGTGCAGTTTTGCATTCATTCGTGATTCGCATATCTTTGTTCTTCGTAATGATTTGCATTAATGTTATATTCGCATTAATTACGTCGGTTTCGTATTGCTTCGTTATTCGCATATCTTCGTCTTCGCAGTGAGTCGCATCATATACATATACAGAGTTATAACTAGTGTACCCATTTTTTTGTCCGCATGCTGGGCAAGTTACTAGATGCATGCATCTGATTGCATGGGTGGCGATTCGCTTTAACTGCTCGCGGAACTTGCTGAGCACGCGCAGTTGATCATTTTTTGCCCGGTCGCCTGAAAAAAGTGGGTACATGAAAACGTAAGCTTCCGCAGTATCTACAACGGTCAGTTACAGCTCATGTCTCTCCTCTGTGGTCGCATTAATATTATATTCGTATTACGTCGGTTTCGTATCGATTCATTGTTCGCAGTCCGTCGTTTGATTCGTTATTCGCATTCGTCATTTGCATTCCGTCATTTGCATTCCGAAAATGTTTGCGGTTTGTGCTTGGACGAAAATTGCTGTATTCTCGTTACGTCGGTTTCACATTGATTCGTTATTCGCATGCCTTCCTTCTTCACAGTGATTCGCATTGATGTTAGATTCGTATTCCGTTGTTTTTTCGCATTGCATCGTCATTTGTATGTCTTCGTTTTTTGGCGGGATTCGCGTTAATGTTATTCTTATTAGCCTTACTTCGTTTTTCGCATTGATTCGTTATTCACATGTCTTCCTTTTTTCGCAGGGAGTTGTACTGTATTAATGTTAGATTTGCATTCCGTCGTTTTTTGCATTGATTCGTTATTCGTATGTCTTCGTTCTGCGCAGGGGATTCGCAGTCATTTTAGATTCATCTTTACGTCGGTTTGAATTACGTCCGTTTCGCATTTATTCGTTTCGCCTGTCTTCTTCATTCGTAGTTCTTTATTCGCTTTGCGTCTTCGTCGCATTGTTTTTCAGCCTCTTTTGCTTCGACTGTGTCGTAAGGTACCGTAGTTTTTCTTTTGTGTCAATGTCACTAGTTCCACATTACCTTTTGGGATACATGGAAAAACGCTGCGTTTCGGTGCGCTGCGTTTGAAGTGCCTAGTTTCTTTGCTGTCCGTCGTTGCATGATTCGCGATATGCGCCGTAGGTGTTGTTCACGGTGATTCGTTGTGCGCATGATTTCTGCTGTTACAGGTATACTAATTGCAGGTCCGTTGCACTTCTCGTTATCGGCCCGCCATGTTTCTTCAGGCCTCGTTTTCATTTTCCGGAATGTCATCGCTTGCTGCCTACGGCGAACACTCTTTCTCCGCTAGTCCCTTCTTAACTCATCCAGGAGCTGTTCTTCGCGAATTCGAGTCGCGATGTTTCCATTTTCTCGTTCAGGGACTCGCTGCTAAATCCTGCCGTACGTATACTGCAGGTCAACGCCAGTTTGGGCAATTTATACGGTCATTGGCTGCAATCTTTCCTACTCTTCAAGTGTCTGAGTCGCAGCTCGTATTATTCGTTTACAGTCGGTTTTTATCTCGCGGCAGTTCGGTCCCTGCATCTTCATTTGGGTTTCTTTGACCCTACACAGAATGCTCAACGCCGTAGGCGAGTGATGAAAGGTATTCAGCGTTGTGATGGATCAGCAAACTCGCCTCGTCTCCCGAGAGCATCGGAAATTCTGCACGCGATCTTCCACTCGTTAAGCACGACTTTATCGCGTGCTGTGTTGTTGTATTTCGGATTTCTTCGTGCCGGTGAGTTTACGACGTCGCTGCCGTTTGACGTCTTTGTACATCTCATCAAGGCTGATGTCACGAGCATACCCGTCAAGTCCGTTGGAGGCTCGTTTTCACCGGCTTATTCAGGTCTGGAAACCTGACTTTGTCGAACGCGGTTGCTGCATTTATTTGGACCCAAATTGTCAACGCACGAGTCCAGTTGCAGCGATTCAATATTATCTGGCGGTACGCGGCACGACACCCGGCCCTCTATTTGTGTGGGCAGATGGCAGTTCGTTTATAGCCCTTCAAGTAAACAGCTATCTGTGCATTCTTCTTTCACGCATGGGTATTCCCGGCAATTTTCTTCCTACAGCTTCCGCAGTGGTGCCGAAACGGCGGGCGCGGCAACCGGCCTTTCCGTTCCTCTCATCCACGTTCTTGGACGTGGGGCAAGTGATGCGTATTTCCATTATATTCGCACTTTACCCGATATTCTTTCTCGTGCGATGGCGGGTTTATAAGGGATTGGACGTTGTTATTGGGCAAGGTATCACCAATGGTTACCTTTCTCCAACCCTTATAACTGGTTGGAGGTAATTTTGGAGGAGGTACCATTGGTTGACTAAGGATTCTATGAATTATTATCCTTGGGGATGTTTCCTGCTTAGTCAGGCGCATCTTAACTAGCTACCGATTCCATCCCTATCGGCGACAGCGGGAAAGTATAATTTAGTATAGTAATATTTAGCAACATTAATGGCTGGATGGAAAGCGATGTGACCTAACGGCCACATCAGATGATTAATATCGTATTAGATGTTAATTTTAATTAATTAATTAATTAATTAATTAATTAATTAATTAATTAATTAAAATTAATTAATCAATTAATATTTATTTTCAGGAAGATTCTCACAAAGTGATTTTAGGAAAGGTCCTGAACTAAATAAACAAATCTGCCTCTCCCAATTTTTCCCCTTTCCACCTGCTCGCCTTAAAATTTCTCTTGCCCACATTTTCGCACACTCTTTATAAATCCCCGATAAATCACCCTTGAGAGGCAGACTTAGTGCAAATCTGTACAGTCAGGTACTGTACCTCCACTATCTTTCTTCCTGAGACCAAAGCTTGGAGGTCTAAGATACGACGTCTTTTGTGATGTGTTTCCACCTGACGCCTTTTCGTCAGATGGTCCTTCCAATTGTTTCTTTTCCAAATTCGGAGTTCCTTCAGGTGTTACAGTTGTTGACGGACCTTCATTTGCATGAGCACGTCTATCCACTTGAAATCTTGCTGCCAGGTGGAGAGGAGTTGCTCCATTTTCCCCCTTGGCACCTACATCTAGTTTTCGAAAAAAATTAATGAAAACGTTTCGTGAATTAGGCAGTGTGGTCTTTATCAGACCTACAGTATGGGGAGAAGAACAAATAGTCAGAGCTACAGTATCCAGTGGAATTAGTGATATGGTTAACTAGTGTTAATCATTTTCAAAATGCCAGGTTGTGAAATGCAGTTTGATTGGTCATTGCATTTCATTTCTATACAAGTTTAAACCCAGAGTAGCGAGCGAAAATATGATTCAATCTGATATTAACCTCTTTGCCATAAACTTAAAAACTTCATCCAGTATAATAAACTAAGTTAGTTTAGTTTACTTTAATTTAGGCTTGCTTTTGTAGTAACACAGGCCCAATAAGGGAAGGCTGTAGGCTGTAGCTGGACCGTCCTTTGCTGTAGGAAACAGTTTGAAACTAATTTTAGAACAATAATCCAGTATTAACAAAGTACTGTACTACAGTTAACTTTCTGATTCTGAGAGGATACAACAAAATTTCTGTGTCAAAGAGCTGTCTGTATTAAAGAGATGGGTGTTTTATCAACTGAACAGAAGTCAGGATATATGTCAGGACATTGGAAGTAGCTAGAGATGTCTGTACTTGGGGGACACCATATGCAACAAAATCTTTCACAGCGATTTTACATTCCATGAAAGCCTTGCAAATAGGCTATTATTGAATCAAACTACCCAAAATTTAATTAAGCCAAAAACAGTTTAATAACTTATTATAGTGTTATATTATGAAGTAACATGACATCACTGTATTATGTAATATATACTGCATGCTGGGGCATGCATTGAAGTCTTGAAGACAATAAAAATATTGTAGTAATTAAGTATGCAAATAAAATAGCCACCATAAAGAAAATTAATATAAACTTTGAGTCTCAAAAGCCTACAGAACTGAGATTTGCAGCAATAATATGGCCATGAGGATATGACCATCCAGGGTTTTTTCCAGGACTTTTTCTTGGGTCCGTTTTTGCAGAGAAGATTGAGTTTAGCTAGCTGAAGCTAGGGGGGTCTGAGGCAGCTGTCTCCCCCCCCCCTACTGGGAGGCTGAAACCTGTACCCACTTTTATGCAGTTGAGATGGAATGTGTTAAAGCAGGGGCACTAAGGGACACTATAAACTGGTTAACGACGGTGAATGCGTTGTTTTTCTTGTGTTGTGAAATGAATTCCAGCCATTTTTACTTAATTTTTGGGTTTTGGTTTTGGTTTTACTTAATTTGCACACGACACGTCATGAATTTAACTCAAACAACTTCATTGTACTGTACAGAATCGTTTGATGAGAAGATTGAGTTTCAAAACTCAATTCAAGATTGAGTTTTTGGGGCCGTTTTACGGCCCTAAAAAATCCCTGAAAAAACCCTGCCATCATAAATTCGCACACAACAATATTTTGGGAAGAGTTCTACACTGATCCGCATACACAGATATCACTGAATACCAACATCTGTATTCTGTAATCTTTATATTACCAGTACAGCTGACAATGAACAAACTAAGTTTTAATAATTATGAGTCTACACTCACGTGCTCCCCACTCAACTAACTTCTTGACAATATTATGATGGTTATATCTGACAGCATAATGTAATGCTGTAGAACCATCTTTGTCTTGTGTGCTGATCTTGCTGGAATTTTTGCCAAGTAACTGAAGTTTCTTTTCAACAAGATCCAACCTTCCATCTCTGGCTGCCTAAAAATTACGCAGCAAAATATACCAGTTCAAAGCTGTGTTGTTGACACAGTAGTCAGTGCATGTGCAATTCACCTCAGCTGTCACCACAGTTCAATTCCACCATCTGATTATAATATCATCTTAGTCAGAATATGTGAGAACATGCAGTAGTATTAATAATACCAGTTTGACTCTACCAAGCAGTCCAGATGAGACTTTGGTGTCCTCCTGTAGAAAAATTGGACCTCTACTGGACCCTGAGGCTGGGCCTACAGTCCAATGTGCCCAACTTTAGTATTTTACTCTGTCTAATGCAAGATGATTTTACTCATCAAGGCAAGAGTCTTGTACATTGATGGGTTAATAAAACATCTACCAATGTGTCTTGGTAACCTGTTCAGCTGCAAGGGAGACACAATCTGCTAGTGTCTGAGGGAACACTTTTTTTTTGGGGGGGGGGCAGTATCCACTGTCACACCAGGTTGAAAACAAATGCCTAGTGTTGCAGCCAACCCATTGCTTCTGGGTTGAGGTTGCTTCACAAAACATCAAAGGCTGGGGGAGGGCTTTAGATAAAAATGTCAATTTGACATTTTGTGTGGTAACTTAAAATTATATGGACATAGCCCCTAAATGTGGTCAATTCAAGAATATAAAGTTGAAAATGAAAAGCTGTTAATACAGTCAAAGTACAAGTTGTTGACATTTTCTGTAATTTGGTCTGTACTACCATAACGATTAACGGTTACCGATTTATAGACAAATACTGTGATAAAATTCAAATTTCGTACCCCATATGGAACAAAGAAAACTAAATTTTTTTGCTGCATTTGCTCATAATTTGGTAACCGCTGCAGAAAAACAGAACAATTTACAGTAATTTACAACAGATTATAGAAGCGGAAGTAGGAAGGTTCTTGTATTTTAACTGTAACTACAGTAGTATAAAATGGTTAAATATTAACTAAATATGAAAGCGCTGAAAGAGGGAAACATATACCTGGTGTAGCGATATATTAGCATAATCTGAATGTAATTCTCTTGGTGACTTGCCAAACAATCCAGCTAATCTTCTTGATGTCTTAGATGTTCTTTCTAAGTCAGTGAAATGATACAAACTTTGTTCTCGCTCCACATGTGTGCCTGAAAAATCTTTCAATTCCAGTGATTTATCTTGTAATAATGGAACTGAGGCACTATGGTGCAAACTAGAAGATTTCTCGTTATTCATTACATAGTTTGTAGTTTAAATTGTATTTCCTGCTGACAATTATTTCTAAAAAAACAAATCATATTTGTTGTTTATATTGGTGTGACACGTGGATTTCACACACTGTGAAATTTGCGTGTTTCCACTCACAATAAATAATTTCCCTTCCAATATTTTTCTTCCTTCCAAAAGTCTCGATTTCCGACAACCTCGTTCCCAGGGCCTTTTTTGAAAATTGGGCGAAGGGAAATCGCCCAATTTTCAAAAAAGGCCCTGGGAACGAGGTTGGATTTCCGATCGCTACGTAGCCTCCTGCGCAGCAATCTCGTTCCCCGAGCCTGCGATCCTCGGGAAGGAATCGAAGGCTCTGGGATAATCCGTTACCGGAAGCCAAGAATCCTGGCTAAGATTGAACTACGCATTTCATTTCAATGGCCAATCAGATTCCTCCCTGAAACGGATTATCCCAGAGCCTCGCGTTCCTTCCCGAGGATCGCAGGCTCGGGGAGCGAGATTGCCTGCGCAGACGTTGTTAGTGGCCGAGGCTATCTGAGAAAGGAAACCTCTGCTAATTTCTATGGCGCGGTAGATGGGACAACTCGATTACTTGTCTATTAGATGATTATTTTACTCTGTCTACAGTAAATTATTCGACAATTTAGTCCCGCTATGCAAATTCAAAATTATTATCATTATTCATTTCTTTAGAAATTGATTGTTTTCACAGTCAATGAACACAATAATATTTGCATAGCGGGACTAAATCGTCGGGCTGGCTACGCTACTGTATTTAATTAAAGATGCGGTACAGTCCGATCTGCGCATGTCCACAAAGGAGCCCTCTTTTTATATACAAACAGTTTATTTAGGTTTTTATTTCATTTTATGTTCTTGCAAAGCTTGCTTGTTGTGTCTTGATAATTTATTATACTCTAGAATCATGAAAATATAAATAGCTGTCGAATAAAATTTAATATTTTGGGTACCGAAATATAAACAAAGCCTTTGTTTACATACGAAGTGTACCGCATCTTAATCGGTGTACATAAGATTATTAAAAAAAGGTCATCAAGTTTAGATTAGTGTCAGATTAAGATTAGATTAGGGTTAGATTAATAAGATTATATTAGAGTTGGGGTTAGACATACAATCGGTTACAACTGGTGCGAAACAGCTGCAATCGTACACTTTTGGCTCAAAGGCCCGCGAACTTTTAACAGCGGTATCTAGCACTCTGATCTTGAAACACAAATTCATTTCGAAACAATCTTTATTATATAAACATAATATATAGAGTTTTTGGCCACTGAGAAAAATCGTATTTAAACACACGTAAAAAATACGATATTTTTACGTGTGAAAATATCATTTGTTGTAAAACGCATTGCCACGGACGTTTTATTGTTTTTCACTGAATTTTGTTTATATAATAAACAGAAAAATACATGGCTGCTTGGAAATACCGGATTTATTTCTCGTGTTGAACATGATATCTCACTCGTTCGCTGCGCTCACTCGTGAGATATCATGTTCAACACTCGAAATAAATCTGGTATTTCCGCGCACCCATGTATTATTCTCTATCTATCTTATGCTTGTGATGTTACTCTGTATATCAGATCCACACCAGGCAAGCTTGAAAAAAATGCCTGTCCTGGGCATCGAACCTACGATCTTTGGAATACTAGTCCAATGCTCTGCCAACTGAGAAAAAATCAGAACAGAAAAACAACAGAAAAAATCATGATTATTAGATTACATTGATATCGAAGGAACTAGATTCGGTTCCGAAATATCACATACTCGAACCGACCTGACCGCATAGCTCAGTTGACAGAGCATTGGGCTAGTATTCCAAAGGTCGTAGGTTCGATTCCCACCGTGGACAGGCATATTTTTCAAGCTTGCCCGGTGTGGATATACACTCAGAGTAACATCACAGGCATCATATTTACCTGAGTACACTCATCAACACAGAAAAAATCAATCTCTATATTTCAACGAGTGAAATTCAAAACATAGTAACGAGTTGGTTCAACATCGTGCGAGTTTCCTATAATCAGAAAGTCAACATGACATGCATATGACTTCCGATGATATACAGCGTTTGATTTCGGTAACCTGCCTTTGGAAAATGTCTATGAACCAGACCTACCAAGTCTCCCGCATTTGGTGGGAGACAGGGACGTTGCTACCTGGGGTTGGGTGTGGGGTGGGGGGGGGGGGTGTAACACACCCCAGTAATTCAAAACGTTGGTCAAAGTTGATAAAAAAGGAAGTAACATTTGCTTAAAATTGAAGGTCAAAGTTGGTAACATTTGGTCAAAGTTTGAGATAAAAGACAGTCAAAGTTATGAAATCGTTAGCAATTTTAACAATTTCTAAGCTTCGGTCATGTTTGGCTGAAACAATTGCAAGCCTTGCTTATTTTAGTTGAAAAATATTTGAAGCTTTGTTTATGTTAGTCCGACACTCGTCGACAACATTTTCGGGAAACATTTCTACTACTTGGCCAAAATTGTAGGAAAAGTTGTTCAAAACATGACGACCCCCCCCCCCAATGTTGATGTCTTCACGAGGTCCCTCGTCCCTCGCATTTTGAAGTCATTACTCATCTCTCTCCCACATGAAGACAATTTGAAGAAATCTCCCGCATTCCTTGTGTTTTACCTGCAACACAGTAGTGTTGAGAGTGCTACCAGAAAAAAACTAACAGATTGTCTAGACACATATGCATGTCGATTGATAGGTGTTGCACAGCTGAGCAAGAGTGCTCTGAATGCAGTCTAGCTTAGTTTCAAGGTTCTCTTAATTAAACGAAGCGCTCACAGCAATCACGCTTTACGCCTTTAGTCCCCAATAGAGATTTCGTTGAGCTCATCAGTGTTTATCAGAGAGTATAAGCTTCGCGTTTGTACGTCAAACGGCAAACGGCAGGCAAAGAAAAATTTTACGATATTAGGCAATAAAGAATAAATGAACTTGTTGTTTTTAAACTGCTATGCATAATTATTCTTTCAACCACAAGAAAGAAAATATGAAGCGAAAATGTTCAACGAAATTAAAATTTTGCCAAGAAAGTTCGAAACTGTCGTTTGCCGTTGTCCGGAAACGTGAAACTTAAAGTATTGTAATCTCCTTCATTTTATGCACCATACCTTGGCAGGCCTGATGAACCTCAATCACAATCCGATCCAGCCGTCCAGGTCTTGATCTGTAAGCTCAGAATACTGCACACCTACTAAGTTGCACTCGGTCATCCGTCTAGTAATTGTGCGAGTTTAAACCTGGTTTCCATATGATCGTTACGATCGCTTCAATCATTACGATCGCGATCGCGTTCGTTCATTTTCATATGATCGCTTCACTTTTTGCGCGCATATGATGTGAGAGAGCTGGGGAAAAGTTTATGGCGCGAAAGTTTAAAAATGGCAGCAATAAACGAGCGTTTGTTATTGGAAGCTTGGTTCCTCAACATATTGAGAATTTTTAGACGACGACAACAGAAGAAGCAGAAGGAGAATTTCCGTTTCCATATGTTCGCTGGGGTTGATACGATTGATGAGATAGATATTTTTCTATCTCAGCGATCACGATCGTTACGATCATTGCGGTCGCTTTGATCGCTAACTAACTTATTTCCATATAATCACTACGATCGCTGGTACATTTCTTCAGCAATCTTAATGATTGAAGCGATCGTAACGATCATATGGAAACCAAGCTTGAGACGCCAAGCATTCTTGATAAGAGCGTCTTGTTGAAAGCCATTGACGGAAGGAATTCTTATTGATCTCGGCAGTTCCTAAACTAAGGTTTTTTATTGCAATTTGCAAGCTAGAAATTTCCAAATTTAAGGTTGTTATATATTGAATATCCATGATTTCCAGTTACATGTTTTGAAACAGTTTTTGTGAGTGGATGGGTAAAACAAATCTTTGCCAGAACTTAAGAGCCTCTAGATTCAAATTGTTTTGGGGAACAAAACACACAAAATCCGCACCCAAAATCGAGTTTGTCTGGCCTTTCTCCCACCCATCAGTTCCACCCAACCATACCATTATTCTGTCACCTACATGCAGGTAAAAATCCTTCAACCCCCTCCCCAGTCAAACACCCGTTGCCTTCGTAACATCCCTACATGCGCAGATTTTTCTGAAGATAAACCCTGCTACAATAGATGCCTTGTCATTAGTATTCTTTTTATTTATACAAAAAATGTTCTTTATATATTTCAAAAACTCATTAATAATTCATGAAGCAATTATCCAATCTTGAGTAAGAAATTAGTCACGTGCATACGTCTTTATACCAGTTAAAGAACACTTTAACAAAAGACCATTGTTATGCAAACTATATAAAGATTTTTATATAAAGATTTTTATGTTATATGTAAACAACGAGTTTGAGTGTTTCATCAGGGGATCCAAACACGAGAAAACTGTGTGAAACACGAGCGCAATGCGCGAGTGTTTTATTGTTTTCGAGTGTTTGGTCCCCTGATGAAACACGAGAAACGAGTTGTTTACATAACATCTCAAACGAAAACATTTCATTGGCTTATATATATTATTATAGTATATTGTTGTGTTTTGACTTGAATTTGTAATTAGGATCTCAGTTATTAGATGAAAATCGTTTTTCATCTAACAACAGTGATGGTATATGATTTTTAGCGTGTTTCCTTGCGGTATCCAACCTCAATCATGTGACGAATTAGGGTGAGTTCATTCGCTAGTTTGCTCATGAATTATTAATGAATTCGAGATATAAAGATCTTTATATAAAGATTTGACTTATTATGCAAACGTTTTTGAAGCCATTTAAAAAACTCGCAGGTTGTGTTTTATTAGGTCTAAACCTAATAAAACACTCCTGCTCGGTTTTTAAATAGTACATAAAGAATGCCAATTAATTAGGATGCAGGACTTTTATATAAAGAATACTAATGAAGATCAGTTTTACCAGGTATAAAGCCTCTTCACGTGACATATTATGGTTGACATGATTTGTCAGTAAGCTTATGAGTTATGAATTATCAATGAGTATTTGAAAATCATATTAAACGTGCAGAGTCATCGTATTAAATGTGTACATGATCATCTCATATGCATAGACAAATCCGATTTATCGGGTACATCCTCGGGTAGAAGAATTTGCATCACAGACTACGTCATCAGTTAGTTATAGCGATTAGTTTTGAGGTTAGGGTAAGGGTTAGGGTAAGGGTTAGGGTGAGGGTTAGGGTAAGGATTAGGCTTAGAGATAGGGATTTGGTTATATCTGACGCCACAAACAACACAACTAGCCGATCACGTGATCACTTCTCCTCTACCCGAGGAACTACCCGATTTATCCCATCTACAGAACTTCCCAGGGGCGTAGCGTGCGGGGGGGTGTGGGGGGGTGTGACACCCCCCCAGTTTTAGTGAGGTAGTCGGTAAAACGCGAAGTTATTCGGTAATGGCAAGAGCCATGACAGCGGTCGGTAAAACAAATCGGTTAAAGTG